AAGAGCCGCCCATTGAGCAGCAGTTGAGGTATGCAAATCGCTGGCACAGCCGCCGCTGTCAGACGTGAGCTTCATTAGACGAGCCTCGACGCTGCGGCCATTAGCAACACCTTAAACCAGATAATTATGGCCAAAACTATAAATCAGCCGGCTATCCAAAAGATACCAACAGATAGTAGTTTAGATGCTTCTCTAGATACTCAGGTGCTTAAAGATCTCGCGTATCGATTTCTCGTGGGCGTTTATGTTAATCGATCGAACGTATATTGTGCTCTGTCTTTGTATACCCCATGGGGGTAGATCATCTCGTAGGAGTGTGACAGCTGCCTTGCAATCGAATAAATAGTGAAGTTAATAAGACGCATGAATGAATGGTCTAATGGGATATGTAGATCAATCAACAAGGAATATCGATAAATATCGATATACTTTATTTAGCTCATGCAATGAGCTAACTATATATTCATTAATCATATTAGAGGGTATTTTTGATAGTCGCTCAACTCAGCCACAGAGCATGTTCATTCAGATTATTTTCTGCTTTATTTTTTGGCTGCAAATCAAAAGCCACAAAACTGAGGCAAAGCGCTGCCTGTGATACATTCCACACACGAAATACGCCAACAACGACAACACACACACACACACACGTATACACTCACACATGTATGTATGCATGTATTATATGCTGAGCTACAAATTCTGGCTTTTGTCTTTTGTTGGCTCGTTTTTGTGGCTTTTAGCCACGTGCTGTATCACTCCAGCGTCTCAAACTCATTTCGTTTTTCTGTTTTTTTATGGAAATTAACATTTTTTAATGGGTTTCTTTCGGTTGTATACCGTGCAGGCGGGGCGAGTGTGTAAACAGGGCATATTAGTTACTAGAGATGTCTACAGCTACATACATATATGTATGTATGTACATATATTCTTGGTCGAGTCGATCGAGCGGCGTCTGCAATTTTAGCAACTCACGCCAAGCACTACAGGGTATCTACTAGTGGAGCTTACGCTTACTTGTTCATTCTTCAAATGTTGTTATTCACGGCATTAATTGCTTTGCTGCATATCTTTATGGAAATACAGCCAGATATCTATTACATATAGTAAACATATGTATAAATGTATGTGTATATATTTATTTATATGCATGTATACCTATGTATATACATACATCCATCTAGAAGTCAACAATTCGTTAATCATTATCGTAATTTGGGGGCCCGAACGGGGTCTCCATCTCAATCTCTCTCGGATCTGTGTTGCGTGGAAAATGCAACAGCGAAACAATGGACAAAACAGATCTGGCAAAAGGCATTTAACGGTTATTATGCGAGCTGCAGGTGCAGCCAGGTAAGCGGGCATGGGGCTGCAGGAAATTAGGCAATGCAGCCAAACAGCATCGGAAATTTGGTGTGTAAACGGAGCCACAGTTGGCCAGTGGCGATGCTGGAGCCATCTAGCGGCGAGTAGCGTTTAGTTGCAGTCTAAAAACTTCATGGCAAATCATTTTAAATGTCTCTAATGAGCAAATGATGCAGACAATTGTGATTTGCAGCAGCTAGCCTCTCTCTCTCTCACTCTCTCTCTCTCTCTCTCTCTCTCTCTCTCTCCATTTGCCATCGAATTTTATGGTTTTTGAATTCTTCCATGGGTATTATGCAAGCTGCAGGTGCTACTAGTTGGGGAAAGTAGCACTTGCAGCACGAAGCTAAGGAATGTCAGCGACTGGGGCGCCATCTAGCGTCGAGCTAGAGCAAACGTGCCTGAAATGCCGCACTAATGAGCAAATGATGCATGCAATTGAGAATTTTAGTCTTGCTCTGCCTCTCTCTCGCTCTCTCCCTCTTGCTTTCCCTTGCTCTATATATGTAGCCACTTGAACAAATTGTGGGAGTGCAGCTCAAGTGGAGCAAGAGGAGAGCGAGCGCCAGAGAGCGGGAGCCGCTGCAGTCTCAGCTCAGCTCATATCTTAATCAATCAATCTACAATTTAAAATCGATTAACAAACCAAAAACAAAAACAAAAGGCAACTCCAAACTGAGTTGGGAAAATAAAGTTGAATTGCTCCTGCAAGAAGTCCAATCCGCTGGCTTAGTTGAGATGTTGTTGAAATTTGTGCGCCTCGAGTGCTGAACGAAAATGCGAGATGGAGAGAAGCAAAGTAAGAGAACGCAAACAAAGAACGCGAGACAAGAAAACGACACGCAACACAACACAAGAGATCGGCCACAGAAAACATGTAATTACAGCCAGGCCAGCGTGATGAAGATGGTCATCATGATGATCATTATGATGACGATGATGCTGCCGGCTCTGCTGGCTCCTCATCGCAGCAGTTACAGTTCATTCACGCCCCCTCAGTCGATAAGCTCGGCGACGCCCACCACAAAGCGCTGAATGTGGCCAAGTGACAAATGGTTGATATGGAATGCCTCTGCCTCCCCCACTGCCTCCGCCCCAGCCGGCCCCTCTCTCTAATTGTCTAATAGAACTGGGAAGAATAGAACCGACTGATGGAAGATGGAAGATGAATGCTAAACGAGCCGCCGATAGCAATCTCTTTTCTTTTTATAATATTTCAAATAGATATTCAAAAAAAAAAATACAAAGCCTCTCGCGACCTCTCGCTCCCCCCGTCAGCAATCTCTATTATTATAATAATATTTCAAAAAGAAAATGGAAAAGAAAAAGTAACACTAGGGCTCGGCCGGCAGTTGAACCCGCGGCCTCTCGCACCCGCTGCGAGAATCGTACCCCTAGACCAGCGAGACGTGCTAATTTCCAATTGCTATTCTACGTGTGTGTGTGTGTGTGTGTGTGTGTGAGCAAATTTCAATTGCAGCTAGCCGTAAGGAGTGAGGGAGTAGAAGAGAGGGAGAAAGGAAGATGCTGTTGTTGGAGAGGAACGTGTGATTGTGCGAGGGAGAAAGCAATATGCTGCAGTTGCCTTGTTAAGTAAATTTTAGGAGTTGTTGTTGTTGTTGCTGCCGTGAGCAAACTTCAAATTGCAGATGGAGGGGGGGAGGAGAGAGGCAGAGAAATGCCTTCTTATGAAGTTTCTGCGATCAATTTGAACAGTTTCTGTTGCTTATAGCCAGATGCCAGCGAATCAGCATGCACTGCATGCCTGTAGATAAATTATGCATGTGTGTATGTGTGTGTGCGTGCATATATATAGGTGAAGTACAACAGTGCGTGTGTGTGTGTGGGGTGCGCATGCAGCATATTCCAAGATCTGTTTATTGTTTACACTGGACGCTGCGTAACGAGAGATGCCAAAAAAACAGAAGCAAGACGAAGAAGAAGAAGACGAAGGAAGAGGAAAAGCTAGGGAAGGGGTCATGCTATAAAAACTTCAAATGTGTTTGTGGCGGCAAAATGAAGCCCATAAATAAAGCTGACTCCACATACTCTATATAACAAGAAACGAAAATTGGATATTTCGTGAGATAATATTCAATAAGACACTGAAGGTATATCCACACATACATATACAGAAACATGCATACATGCCTACATATTTGATATATATTTTACGATCTCAGTGAAATCCGAGTGCATCAACAGATATAGCGATATGCCCAGCTATGCAGTTAGTTAGGGTATTGGAATTTCTTTGGCCAGGCACGCGTTGCTTGGCCCATCAGTTAGCCTGGCCGTATAATAAAGCACACACATTTGCCTCCAATTGAATTCTGTTACAATTTATATTTGAACATTTCTTGGGAAACAACAGGGGCGAGAGCCAGCTGAGGAGGCGTGCCGCGGGCGCGCGGAACGAGTGCAATGAGATGGGAGCACAAAATTACATTGTTGCTGCCGTTGGAGCTTTAATTGCTGCAGCTATTTATGCACTTGATGCTCCAACTGCCCCCAACTAGATGGCCAGCTAGTCTCATTCCACCCCCACCTCCATCTCTGCTTGCCCTACTCTTTCACAGACCATTTGTAAACGGATTGAAATGGATTTTGAGTTTGAATTGCTTTGGAACTGATTTTCCCGCATGCCGAGCCGTAATCACTTTGCCCATGACTACTCTCCACTACAGTAGTCGCTCGTGGAATGCAACTGTAGCTTGATTAATCTCTTAATCCCTCTATTTACCTACCTCCCTTTACGCCGGTTGCATATAGCTTGCTCTCTTCCTCGTGCCTTCTTTGTCCTGCTCCTCCGTCTCTCTGTGATCTATCTGTCTTTGCTTGTTTTTCCCTCTCATCTCTATCTCGCTCAACGCCTCCCCCAACTCTCCCTCGGTGCCTCTCTACCTTTTATTCTTCTTATATTCTTTTCCCCATATACTCGATTTCCCTTTTTCCAACTTTCAATCCACTTTGCTCTCACCCTCTCTCTATCTCTCTCTCTCTGTGTCTCTCTCCCTATTTAGCATTATGCTCCTCTCTTAATGGGTCAAAGTCTTTTCAGACTTCTCCACACAATTTGCGCTGAACAATTGCTAAATTAACATACTTTGTAATTCCGTAGCCTCGTAGCTTCGCAGCCCCGGAGCTCTTCGCTCGGCTACTCTCCGCCTTAAGTGCTTAAATGGAACGAGAACAGTTAGTTAATAGACTCACAGAGCTAATGCGTAACGACGAATGACTGGTGGCTAATGACAAATGCCTAATGATATAATACGACAACAACAATGACAATTAGCGACAACAATTGAACGCGTCAGCTGAACATCTTCAAGCTGAAGTCACTTACAGGACTTTAATCGGATACGATAATACCACATTAGACTAGCATGAGATAAAGATATATGTGAACCAAATAGTGAGCTTTGCGTATTCTATCAAGAGGTATCGAATACAGACTGCGAATGTAGACAGCAAAGAGCCCTCTGATTACAACGTCAAGCAGCTCTGCCTTAGCCTAGGGAGAGCTGTTCAGGGAGCTCAGTCATTCAGTATATATATCTCGATACAAGCATATACAAAACAAAAAATATATATTTTTATACAGATATATATCTAGGTTTATATTTTGTATTTTAGCACATTCACAAAGATCGAAAGCCATGACGCAATGCACTTTGGATCGACGCATCACCATATTTTCGCCAGCGGGGCGTCTGTACCAGATGGAGTTCGCAGCCAAGGCAGTCAACAGGGATAATCGCACAGTGGTCGCCATAGCGGGCGCCGACAGTGTTGTGATGGTCGTGCAGCGGAAGCCGCTATCAACCTTCGCCGTACCAGAGACTGCAACTCGCATTTTCCGCCTCTCGGATGTATTGGGATGTGCGGTGATCGGACGCCAGGCCGATTGCAAAGCGCAAGTGTACAGGGCCCACCTGGAGGAAAGCGTGTTCCGGAAGAGGTCCGCAATTTCTATGCCCGCCGACGTGATGTGCCAGCGCATGGCGGACATCAGTCAGGTGTACACTCAGAACGTAACCATACGTCCGCTGGCCTGTTCCATGACCCTGATCTCGTGCGACTTGCAGCGCGGTCCACTGATCTATAACACAGATCCCTCGGCCGCTCCCATTGGCTATCACGCCTGCGTCTTCGGCAGCTCAATGCGGCGGGGCAATTACTACGTGGATAGCATGTACGAGTACAATATGAACGAGGTGGAGACAGCCAAGCTGGCCATTAAAACTCTGGCCTTCGCTCTCGACAAGACTCTAGAGTCGAAGGACTTTGAAATGGCAATGGTCACCCAGTCGAATCCCAAATTCCATATCCTGACCGAATCGGAGATCGACACTCAACTCATCCGCATAGCCAGATACCGAAAGCGCAAGAGGTGTTAAGCTGTACCCATTCTAAGGGACTGTTGAGCCAAGGCTCAGATTCAATTATAACGATTATCAGAAAAAGCAAAATATTCTGTTATCTTTGATAGCTGTACCCATACTAAGGGACTGTTGAGCCAAGGCTCGAATTCAATTATAACGATTATCAGAAAAAGCAAAATATTCTGTTTTCTTTGATACTTCAGAGGCGTGCACATCGAACTGAGCACTAGAGATCCGAGCACTCTACTTGAAATATCAAGAGATTCGGGAAGGTTAAAAAGACACCGATTTATATTTCATCCATTTATGTCTCAGAATCTTGTGCATACCAAATTCGATAATGGTAGTTTTTATAATTTTCGAGATATTTGAATTTGAGTAGTTACCCAAGGAGTGAAATAATTGCTCGTTAGCGCAAAAAGTATTCGAGAAACAACGATTACGATGGAGTCTACTACTTTCTAAGGCATATGTTTTCGAGATTCTAAGAACGCAACAGTAAGATAATTCAATTTCAGATTTATATAGCTAAGAATTACACACAGAGAACACTTGATACAGTAGCTCTAATATGTACTTCTGCAGCCATATGAAGAATACAAATGCAGATGTCGACTTTCATTGATGCTACGATATACATATAAGATGTGTCTGTTATATACCTCATTTTCTACGCTCTCTCGATCAGTTCCGATATTTTCAGTACTCTGGATATACTCCATTTGCGTCATATGAGCGAGCAGTAGTTCGATTCGAGCGACGTTTCAGCTTAATTAACAAAAACTTTTGGTGCATACGCATTTAACGGCAGTTTCACAAGCAACAGGTGAAGGGGGCCACGAGGAGGGGCGGGCGGGCAGGTGTGGCTGCTGCAAGGCAGGTGAAAATCGTTGGGGCGACAGCCGCTGCGTAAATTTTACGCAATTGGGGACAACAAATTACACGCACTGCAATTTACTGAAGACTGGAAGCGGAGACTGGAAGTAGAGACTGGACTGGTGGCTAGGCCTGTGTGGGCCTGACGGGCTTGCTGAGTCTGTAGAGTCTGGCGGGCATGGCTGCCTCCCCGATTGAGGTTATGAGACGCTGTCGCTTCTTGTCTCTCTGCCCGGGGCGCGCGGCGATTATGCAAATGCATCGAATTTCGAATTTCACTTGACCGAAAACGCATCTAAGACGCATCGAAACGCCGAAGCCATAAAAATCAAGTCCAGCCAGACAAATTTCATTTCAAATACAGTACCGAGCATGTGCGACTGCCACATACCCTGTAAAGTCATAAATACGCACTTGCAAATTTTATTCACAACAAAGTAGAGACGGTATATCGATATTTATCGATTTTGTAAGAGAACTTCAAAGTAAATCTTCATTCAATGTCTATGTGCTCATGTGAAGCGACATGAATTTGATTATTGTGCGAGCGAATGCACGTACATACGAAATGGTATTAAGACAGATCTGTACGACTTGTGCTTCGGTTTTATCTTTTACGCAATTGGCATATCGTACATGGCTTTGCAACAACAACAACAACAACGTCGAAGAGGGGTTTTTTTTTTTTTGGTAAAAATTGCGAGACATTAAGAGTTGATGACCCCGAAAGCCCAAAGAAGATGTCGAACGAAGCCGAACAACAACAAGAAAATTGACTCGATTACAGAAATGAGAAAAAATCAAACAAAAAGAGAAAAAACAGCAAAGGCCATGAAATCAAAATATCTCATGTTGATTGATGTGTGATCCGAAAATGCACCAAGAACCAAAAATCAATAACTGTAAATGGCTAAAGAGCACAGTTTGCCAAGGTTTCACGGTGCCAAAAACTGAAACCAGCTAACTAACCATGGAAACTTGGCTGTTTACCGAGCGATCTACATGAGGTTGGTGAAGTGCAGCGAGTAAAGCCTTATAAGAGTGCATGTTCTGAAGATCAAGCTGATGTAGCGATTGATGAGTGATATTTGAATCACCTCATAGATCATCTGGCGATAATAATAATGTTTTAACTAACGCGCAAAGCCGGTTAACATTTGTATCTATTGTCATCTCTCAGCTCATAACAATCAACAGATCAAATTCCCTAACTCATTTTCCATAGCAAATCTAATTCAAACGGAAGCAACTCCAATTGGCATTGCATAGGCGCATCTCACTCAATTTACGCTTATCAATAGATTTCTTGTCCATTCCAATTAACGCATATCCAATTGGACTTCACGTAATTCCAATAGCAATCCAATTGCTTACCTCTGTGTATTGTTTGAAACTGTTGATCAACTGTTGCGCGGGCTCAACAGTTGCGGTTGCATAGCGTATGGAAGTTAATAACGGAAGTTTCGGTTGACCGCAGGATACGCCGAAGTGTTTCAAGTGAGAGCGAGACCACAGATATGTAGCCAAGACCTTTGATTTTGATTTTTGTTTTGATGCTAGCTTTGGCTTTGGCCTCGCTGCGTGTCGAACGTTAAGGTGAATATTTTTCACACGCTTTCACTTGCACATCAACCAAAAAAATAAAACAAAACCAACAAACGCACACACGAAAACAGAATTTTGTCGCTTTGCTTTGCTTGGCGTTTTGCAGTTATTTTGTATTTCGCGTAACTGTTTTAGCTGCACTGCAATATTTGCATTTGCAGTAGTTTTTGCTCTTCACTCAGCACAAAGCCAAACATAAAACACAAACACACAAAAAAACAAGAATCGGCGCGAGAATCGTAAAAAACAATGCAAACAAAGTCAAATAAAAACCAAATGCCGGCAGCTGAACGCGCGCAAACTCCTTCCTCTTCGAAAGCGATACAACAACTGTTTTTGTGTTTGCCGCGGCGTAGACAGGTCGAAGCGCAACATGTGTGTGCGATAGATACTGCGCAAGCTGACTATCGATGTATGGCGCCAAAATGAGCAGCATTTGAAAATTATATTATGATGATTTATGTGAATTGAGTGAATAGTTGAATTAACGTACGTATCGAAATAAATTAGTAAATCAAATTTTATTTTAGAGTTCTTCTGCTTGCTCCAACTGCAACAAATATCGGCAAGAAAATATATCATCTATCGTTATGCTCTTAATTGCGCTAGTTGACGACCACATGAGAAAACTTTGCATGAAAACAAAGACTGAACAACACTTGGCTGCAGGACATATTAAAGAGTAGATTTGATCACTTTATTACATTAATTTTATTTAAATTCAGTGTACACTAAATAGGCAAATTTAAATTTATGTGCAAGCGCGCCAATGCCCATCATGCATTCGATGAATGTTTAAGTGCTGCACTGCTTGGCAATTTAAAGTAGCTTTTACCTGACGCTAGAGGGCGTCGCAGTTGTTGTTTTTCTACGCTGCCTGGCCAAATGGCGCTGCTCTTATTGGTAAGACACTCGTAAGAAACTCGAGAAATTCAAAAAGAATTTTTAAAGCAAATAAATAAATTAAGGTTTTGTTCATAAAATTTATCAAGCAGTAGTAGTAGTAGTACAACAGTAATTGCATAACTGTAAAATTTAGCACCTATCGAAAGATGCGATAGTTGAATGTGCGCGCGCGCTCTTAAGCGCTTTCGATAAAAGGCATGTATCGATAAGTGCGTTTACTTTCTCTTTCTTGCGCGAACTTTTGAAAAAGGTTATCAGTCGATGTTTGTATTTTATTGTATTGTTATTGTTTCTTAGTGAATATGATTTGCAATTTCACTGCGGGTAAACCCCACCTTAATGCAAAACAAAATTGTAAAAAGTGCGTGTTTGCTCTCGGTATCTGTCTCGGTCTACATCTCTCTCTCTCTCTCTCTCTCTCTCTCTCTCTCTCTCTCTCTCTCTCTCTC